CGCCCCCTCCCCTCCCCTTTCCACCTCTCACACAGCTTCTGTGCACGGCACCTTCTCATCAAGCAAGGGCGCCACATATGAGAGATAATAGAAAACCGCTTAGCGGCGCAGATTATTTTCTTTCCAAGTGCTTGTGCCGCCCCCCCACGTGTCATGAAAAAAATGCCGCCCCGGTTCGCCCATGCCAAAAACTGCCACTGCGTCCCCAGGAAGCTATTAGGAAATGTACTTTACTCAAAAGACTATTCAGCACAATGACAGCCAGTATTACAAAGTACAAGACCTGTCAGGTGCACCCAGTGAAAATGCTTCACTTGAATTTCTATGCCAATGAGTGTGTGTGTGTGTGTGTGTGTGTGTGTGTCATACTGCAGCTCAGGTCTCTCAGGGGAACAGTGCCGAGGTTTTCCAGTAGTTTGAGTCCCACCAGGTTCGGGTCTTCACACAGTTTGAGCAGCTGCACCAGCGAGTCCCTCCCCTCTGATGGCCTGAAGATCTGCTTCTCTGCTGGGTCACAGGCAAAGACACGTAGGGTGTGATGTGGGGAATACATTACATTACATTACATTCATTCAACTATTACTGTGCTGTGCTGGGAAGCTGGACTCATGACCTTAGGATTTCTAAAATCTTGGCTACAGAGCTGCTCCAAGCTAACTCACTGCTCTTTTTAACATAGCTGTTTATAGCATGCTACTGGTCTTCACAGGTCTGCAGAAATACATTTTCAGAATGAAGACACTTCAACCAGCTGTACTCTCACCTGGCTGCAGCTCCTGGGTAGAGGCCAGCAGCGACTGGACCAGGGCAGTGGAGACCAGCTCAGCCACACAGTCTGCAGAGAGGCCCTGCACCCTGATGAAGGCCTGAGCCTTCCTGAAGCGCTCAGGCTGGTCCGATAGCAGCAGCTTCTCAAACACCGAGTGAGGTTCCTCCTTGCAGATGTCAGTGAAGGAGCACTGCAGCTCCTGCCGAGAACACACAGGGATCTACATGACTCTCATATGCACTTCCCTGATGAGCTTAACTGTTCCCCAGCTCAAAGACTCTGCTGCGCTCCTGTGTCTCGGACTGACCGGTCACTCTGAGGAACTTTTGGTGCCTGTGCTGCATTCAAGACAACTGACATCTTCATACTGTACCGAAGTCAAGTTTCTGATGTTTTGTTAAAAATGATTTTATTTAGTCTTAATTGATTTTATCCTGGTTTTAACAATTATTTATTTATTACTTTAATTTAGTTTTCATATTCTATTTATTCTATGTTTATTCTACTTTTATTCTATTTTAGTTTCTTTCTGGGCATTCAATACTAGGTGAGAGAGAAGCAGTATTTTGAGTTTTCTCTATGTCCTGCACATATAGTGAATTGACAATAAAAATCTTTGACCTTGATCTTTATTTCCTCAAAATGTTAATAATATGTCTCTTGCCACTGTGTGTAAAGCACCTAGACTTGCCTCTGTGTTTGAAATGTGCTGTAGTAGCACTGTCCGGGTCAGCACAGTACTGCTCTACTCTAATCCACATGCTTTTCAATATGACAACAGACAGACACTGTGTACTGGTACTACTGACACCTTGGAGAGCTGGTAGAGGCTGAGGACTTGTTTGCAGTAGTTGTTGCCATGGCGACACTGATCCACCAGTCTCTGGAGCTGGACAGTGACCTGGTCTTCGGGGCCTGGGAGCATCACAAATGACGACAGGCTGCTGAATGAAGGAGCTGCAGGAGACAGAGAGCGAGAAAGACACAGATATTACATCTGGTGACTCACTTTATATTTCTAGTCCACAGGCAGTGGTGGAAGAAGTATTTAAATACTTTATCTGGGCAAAAGTAGCAGCACCACATTA